GCCCATCCGATTTAAAGACTTGAGTCTGATTTGATTTTGTATAAGTTGCATATTTTCTTAAGGGCCCACTGGGCCCACCGAGCTCTTGCCTGTGGCTGGCAATCAGCCGCGATGCGCGCGCCACATCTTTAAATGTGGCAGCGGAAAGGCTAGAGTCTCCCGTTCAGTGCGTAGCAGAGGCCGCACAGAAGCAACAAAAACATGCCGGAAGCCCCAGAGACCCAGACAGACCCGGACTGCCCCCCAAAAAAACAAGCAGTCCAGACGCAGGTCTCCTCACGGCGCGGCGTCCGAAGGCGAAAGACCTTCAAGCCTCTCTGAAGGCAGGGAGATGGAGTGGACTCCTTAAGCAGTTTGTTAAAGTTGTTTTATGGATGTTTGGGCTGTTGAGAGGCTTCTGAGATCTTTGGTTTTTAAAGCGCTGGGGGGTCTTGAGTTTCGGGTGCCTGCGGAGGTTTCTCGATGGTTTTCCTCAGCAACTGGGTTTCAACACAGAATCTCGCTGCTCTGATAGCTGCAGAGCTATCGTCAGTCGCATACCCCTGGCATCAGCTCGCGTGGGGTGGGGTACAGGGATGGGCCTTGTTTCGGTAAGCACCACCCACTTAACACGAGCTGGGGGACTTGATACTGGTGCTACAGTTTTGCTAGCTGCAAGCTGTGCCACCATCGCCAGGTTGGTGTGGGCTGCTGGCGGCCCGGCCCGGCGACTGTTTTCAGTTTTCTTCGTCCAGGCCCTTTGCAGCGTGAGTAAGGGGAGAATGGCGTCTGCATTCAGCCTTGCTGCTGGGGCTCATCGGGCGAGGGGTTGGCTTCTAGGCTTTTGGGCTCGAGATCAGATCGAGGCATTCAGAGACAGACGACAAGCTATGGCGAAGGCTGCGCGCGTGATTTCGATCCTGGCCGTGGGAGTTTGCTTCTGCAGCCTCCCGGCCTTCGTGCCTGGGCCTGCTCGCCCAGCTCGCAGCATGGCGCCCGCAGCTGCAGGGGCACTGAGCATGCTGGGTGCAGCGCCGGCTTTCGCGGACAAGATCGACGACGCAGCAAAGGTGCTGTCCGAGAAGTCTTATCCCTTCTTGAAAGAAATCGACTGGACCTCCGACGTCTATGGCAAGCTTCCCACCCAGCCTCCTCTGGAGGTGCTCAAGGCCATCAACACCATGTTGAAGATGGGTGCGTCCATGGACTCCGCAGCTCTGAAATCGGGTGCTCTGGCTCACAGCCAGGCCATTGCCAACATGGACTCCAAGGGTGTTGCGACTCTTGCCGATTATACTGCCATTAATGCGGCCATCGGGCATATGATCGCTTCGGTGCCTGCATCTCAGACCATGGACGTGTACAATGCTTTCAACAAGTTCAACCTTGGCAAGGATGTGGGCCCTTACATGATGTCCAAGGTAGATGCGGCGGATGCCAAGGCAGCTTACCAGGCATTGATGGACTTCAAGGATGTGGTCAAGGCGTCCCAGCGCTGAGCCTTCTTTTGATCCTCTTGAACATCGAGTCGTGCAGGAGTGAGCGCAGCGGCGCCCATCCGATTTAAAGACTTGAGTCTGATTTGATTTTGTATAAGTTGCATATTTTCTTAAGGGCCCACTGGGCCCACCGAGCTCTTGCCTGTGGCTGGCAGTCAGCCGCGATGCGTGCGCCACATCTTTAAATGTGGCAGCGGAAAGGCTAGAGTCTCCCGTTCAGTGCGTAGCAGAGGCCGCACAGAAGCAACAAAAACATGTCGGAAGCCCCAGAGACCCAGACAGACCCAGCAGACCCCCCCCCCAAAGAAAAAACAGTCCACACACACAGGTCTCCTCACGGCGCGGCGTCCGAAGAGACCTTCAAGCCTCTCTGAAGGCAGGGAGATGGGGTGGACTCCTTAAGCGGTTTGTTAAAGTTGTTTTATGGATGTTGGGGCTGTTGAGAGGCTTCTGAGATCTTTGGAAATTTAAGGCGCTCGAGGGTCTTGAGTTTCGGGTGCCTGCGGAGGTTTCTCGATGGTTTTCCTCAGCAACTAGGTTTCAATACAGAATCTCGCTGCTCCGACAGAGGAACCAGATGATACAGTAGCTGCAGAGCTATCGTCAGTCGCATACCCCTGGCATCAGCTCGCGTGGGGTGGGGTACAGGGATGGGCCTTGTTTCGGTAAGCACCACCCACTTAACACGAGCTGGGGGACTTGATACTGGTGCTACAGTTTTTGCTAGCTGCAAGCTGTGCCACCATCGCCAGGTTGGTGTGGGCTGCTGGCGGCCCGGCCCGGCGACTGTTTTCAGTTTTCTTCGTCCAGGCCCTTTGCAGCGTGAGTAAGGGGAGAATGGCGTCTGCATTCAGCCTTGCTGCTGGGGCTCATCGGGCGAGGGGTTGGCTTCTAGGCTTTTGGGCTCGAGATCAGAGGCATTCAGAGACAGACGACAAGCTATGGCGAAGGCTGCGCGCGTGATTTCGATCCTGGCCGTGGGAGTTTGCTTCTGCAGCCTCCCGGCCTTCGTGTCCCGGAAGCAAAAAACCATGCCGGAAGCCCCAGGCCCAGGCACACCCAGCAGACCCCCCGGCCAAAAAAAACGGTCCAGACACAGGTCTCCTCGCGGGGTGCCAAGGCGAGAGACCTTCAACTTTCTCTCCGAAGGCAGGGAGATGGATTGGACTCTTTGGGTTTGTTAGAGTTGTTTTATTGATGTTGGGGCTTCTGAGATCTTTCGCGGCTTTGGAGGGGCTTGGGGGTCTTGATTTCGGGTCCCGGGTGCCTGCGGAGGTTTCTCGATGTTTTTCCTCAGCAACTAGGTTGCAACTCAGAGACTCTAGCTGCTCAGTAAGCGGATCCGCAACCATTTAGAAGCCAACTGATACAGTAGATGTGTTCCCTTGCTCCTGCAGAGCTATCGTGAAGTTCGCGTGCCTATGTCAGTCGCGCACCGCTGACATTACCATCACATAGCCGTTGGTTGCATGGGGTGGGGTACAGGGATGAGCCGCGTCCCGACAAGCACCGCACACTTCACATGTTGCTAGCTGCGCCACCGCCAGGCTGGTGTGTGCGGACCGGCCTGGCGACTGTTTTCATCTGTTTTCAGTTCCTTTTGTCCGGGCCTTGTTTGCAGCGCGGACAGCTCGGAGATGAATAAGGGGAGAAGGGCACCATGCGAATCAAGGCAAGCACCAACAATCGCTACCCCCGCCGAATCCTAAACCATCCTTCCCCAAAATAAAACCCTGGAGAGACCCTAGCCCCCAGATGGTTTAGGGTTCACTGTTTACATCGAGGTGCCACATAAGCAGATAGATCGGTTTGGTTACCTTCTTGGAGTGATTTGAAGAGGACTGGGCCCATTGCTTGGACCCCATCGAGCGTTTTTCAAAGTCTAGAGGCTTTGCTTATACTCTGGGTACTGATGTGGGCCTAGTCGTAGAAGGCCTTCTCAACACCACCCCGGACTCCCGGCCCGGACGCTACACAGCACACGCAGAAGCTGCAAAGCGTCAAACGCATTCCGAAGCTCAAAACCCTAAATCCTAAACCCCTACCCATAGGCCCCAAAGTAGTTCCTTCTGGGGATTGCCTAATAGGATTCTTTATACGAGCCCCCAAAAGGAACTACTTTGGGGCCTTAGGGTAGACCCTAAACCCTCTAAACCCTAAGCCCTAAACCCTCTAAACCCTAAACCCCTAAACCCCTAAACCCTAAACCCCGAAATCCTAAAGTGCTGTCGGCCTGCGGCAGATGCATTGGAAGATGCAGGCTTGGGCTGCTCAGGGATGTAGGGTTTTTACAGTCTATAGACGAAGGTCTTTAAGTGTACCTTAACCCACCTTAATTTAGGGTTCCCTATTATGATTTTTTTAAATGTAAGTCCTTAAAAATGTAGGTTCTTCGGGGTTCAGGTAGCGTTTAGGGTGTTGGTGTTGAGTTTTGGTGCTGCAGGGTTTCAGGTTTTAGGCTTCGGAGATAGAACACTTTCGGCACGTCGAGGGTTTGAGGGCTTTGTAGAGGCCCACGAAACATAAGGATTCTACTTCAGGAGTATTCCAGAAGATTGGTTTGTGAGTGGAGACATGTCGTCTTTTGGACCTGCTGTGTGTTGCGGTTCTATTATTTGGGGATTTTCAGCCCTTCGAGCCCCTGGGTGTAGTGGCTTAGGGCTGTTTTGTTCAGGGTTTATAGGGTTTAGGGAGGAGTCCTTGAGCCATGCTTTCTCGAAGCTATGGAACAGGGTTGTTTTGGGCACCGTGGCTTTCCTCATACTTGATTTCGGAAGCGTTCCTGGCCTGGGCTTTGTTCTGATGCCCAGGGCAGAGGGTATTCGCGTCGACCTCATACTCTGCGATCCTTTTGAAGAAGCTTTGAGCTCTGGAGGTGCCCAAGCAATCCTACTTGGGGGATCATGGGACTTAGTAAGTAGGGTTATAAGTACCCTAATTGGGGTTATAAGTAGTTATAACTGTAGTTACTTTACTTATAACCCTACTTACTAAGTCCCATGATCCTTTAAGTATACGGTACTACACACTCAAAACTGAGGCTGACCGTGCCTGCCGTCAGCTGCGCAATCGCCACGTGCGCCGGGGACCTTGCTCGTGAATGGATTTTGCTCTCGGGCCTGCAGCACGGATTTACGGTTTGCCGGGTTGAGTGAGTCGCCCGAGTTCCAAGCACAAATGGCCCTCGTCGTTTACGAACCGTGAAGGAACGGTGTTATGGAGTTTCGGACAGGATCTTGAGGTTTCGGGCCGGGGGTACAGAGTCACAGCAGCTGGCGGGAGTGATACAGAACGCAGCAGAACATTTACGAGGATCGCGCCGGGTTAACAGTTAAGTCAAGGTTACAGGATACTAGCAACAGTGACAGGACGGTACTGGTGGTGGTTGTCGGGTCACACGCCGAGCTGTTGGGTTGCTATTTCTATATCATGTATATTTCTGTGAGAGTTTAAGTTGCTCCACAGCATTTTTGGCTCGAGTTATAATTGGGGCCTTACGCGACGGGTTCTCGCTCGACGAAGATGCAGCTTCCTTCAGCCTCTTGGCGAATTAATTTTGCTTTTGTTTGCTCTCGTGGTAAGTTCCAAGTTGCACCTGAAGCTGTCACTCAGCAAGGTCGTGCTGTTAGTGATGCTCCCACTGCTGGCTTCGGCAGGTTGCGACGACTCTATGGAGCGCGACTTCAGGAGGGGCTGGTACACGACGGTATGCAGCAAAAAGGTCAGTGCTCTGGAACTCGGTGCCACAGCTGTCGTGTGCGCAGCAGCTCCCCCCGCTTGCGTCCCGATGGTTCTGGACATGGCAAAAGACATTGGAATCGAATTCGGCGCAGACCTTGCTTTGCAGCTGATAGAAGACCACAAGGAAGGGACATTGCCAGATGGCAAAAGCGTGAAAGCGGCACTGCTGACAGAGACTCAGTGCAAGCACTGCCCCTTGGCAGGGTTGTGCACGGACTTGCCAAACCAGTACCGTGTCTGCTTGGCATACAACAAAATGCCAAAGTTCACGATCGATGATCAGGGAGCCCCATGGCAGTGCTACCTCAGCAGGTATCCAGACTTGACGAATGCCCTTGGAGCCACAAATATTGCAGAGGCAAGGAGGCATTGGTTCGAGTTCGGCAAGGACGAAAAAAGAACTGTGACTTGCGACGGCGTCTGCAATTGGGAGTGCTACCTCGACCGTTACGCCGATTTGCAGAAGGCGTTTGGCAAAACAGGCTTTGAGCAAGCAGCCCAGCATTGGTCCGAGTACGGTGAAAAAGAAGGCCGCAGCTGCCAGTGTGCACCAGGCACGGAGTGCCAGTGGCAGTGTTACTTGAACCGATACGAAGACCTTCGCAATGCGTTTGGGCCAGACAACATTGCATTTGCGCGTAATCATTACTACGATTTCGGCAAGGCAGAAGGAAGGACCTGCCGCTGCTAGTGTACAGGCCTCTTGGTAGAGGCAGGTTTTAATTATCTCACGGAGATTTATCCGTGTTACGTGCGCGTTTTGAGTGTGGTCTGGGCGCGACGCCGTCTCAAGGCACCACTTTCTAGGATCCCCGTTGTTTTGTTGCAGTTTAAACCACGGGGCCCTTGTTTTAATATAGGGTTTGACTAACACATGGGTGCAGGCGCAACACATGCCCACCCTAACCCTGTGGACAGGCTCATGTCAGTGGGTGCGACAAGCGCGGTTGAAGTTGCATTGTGCTCAGTCTAGTCGTCGCCGTCAGTCTTTGGAGCAGTTCGAGCAGACGTGATTACTCAGTCCTTGTTGCAGCTATCTTTACAGCCCTCCAGAGACAACCTCCGACCCCGCATATACCCGAAGTCCTCAACTCCTCACTCCACTCCTAAATCGGAGCTTGCGGGTTGAGGGCCCCCATAACTTAATTCCCGAAACATCAATTCGGGGCTCGTGGCTTTTGAGCCCCAAACCCTTAACTTCAACCTCTACAGCCTGAAAGCGTGAACAATGAACCTGAGGGTTCTGGGCTAGCCCGAAACACATCCCCACTGGCCACAGCCTAAACCCAAAAAGTCCTAAGGCCCATAAAGCCTGACCCTGAAGAGGCTTCTCGAGCAGATGACCTTGGCCCAACTCGCTCCCAACTTGCAGACGTCCGGGGCTCAGGATCTGAGCTTGGGTGTTCCTACTATGACACACACCCCAACCCCTTTGTTGAGGGCTGAGGGCTGAGTTAGATGTTTGGTATTTTCGGGTTTGGGGCTCGGGGTTTGTGGCTCATACTTTGTCTCTTTGTGTGTAGTTTTAGTGTGCAGGGAGAGGCGCGGGGTTGCAGAGTCCTGGCCGAAGAGTTGTGCATCAATTCATCGCTTAACATGAGCTGGGGGACTTGATACTGGTGCTACAGTTTTGCTAGCTGCAAGCTGTGCCACCATCGCCAGGTTTGTGTGGGCTGCTGGCGGCCCGGCCCGGCGACTGTTTTCAGTTTTCTTCGTCCAGGCCCTTTGCAGCGTGAGTAAGGGGAGAATGGCGTCTGCATTCAGCCTTGCTGCTGAGGCTCATCGGGCGAGGGGTTGGCTTTTAGGCTTTTGGGCTCGAGATCAGAGGCATTCAGAGACAGACGGCAAGCTATGGCGAAGGCTGCGCGCGTGATTTCGATCCTGGCCGTGGGAGTTTGCTTCTGCAGCCTCCCGGCCTTCGTGCCGGGGCCTGCTCGCCCGGCTCGCAGCATGGCACCCGCAGCTGCAGGAGCACTGAGCATGCTGGGCGCAGCGCCTGCATTCGCGGACAAGATCGACGACGCGGCCAAGAAGCTGTCAGACGCCTCTTACCCATTCCTGAAGGAGATCGACTGGACCGCAGACTACGCGAAGAACATCCCGGGAGCGGATCCCCTGCAGATGGCAAAGGCCATCAGCAAGACCATCGACATGGGCGCGGCTATGGACCCATCTGCTTTGAAGGCGGGCGTCCTGGCTCACTCCAAGGCGATTGGCAGCATCGATGCCAACGGCCTGACCTCCAAAGCTGATTACCAGGCTATCAACGCAGCCATCGGTCACATGGTCTCCTCGGCTGGAGAAGCCAAGACGCTGGACGTCTACAACGCTTGGGCAGGCGTCGTGGCCGCAGCCGTGGCCTCGGGCAAGGGAATCCCGGCGTACCTCATCGGCACTGTGAACCCGGCAGACGCACAGGCTGCTTACAATGCCTTCCTCGAGTTCAAGGATGTGGTCAAGTCCACGATGAAGTGATCGGAGATGATCGTGGAGTGTGTCGAGTCGTGCAGAGGAGTGAGCGCGGCGGCGCCCATCCGATTTAAAGACTTTCAAGAGTCTGTTTCGATTTTGTATAAGTTGCATAGTTTCTTAAGGGCCCCCTGGGCCCACCGAGCTCTTGCCTGGCTGGCAATCAGCCGCGATGCGTGCGCCACATCTTTAAATGTGGCAGCGGAAAGGCTAGAGTCTCCCGTTCAGTGCGTAGCAGAGGCCGCACAGAAGCAAACAAAAGCATGCCGGAAGCCCCAGAGACCCAGACAGACCCAGCAGACCCCCCCCCCCAAAGAAAAAACAGTCCACACACACAGGTCTCCTCACGGCGCGGCGTCCGAAGGCGAAAGACCTTCAAGCCTCTCTGAAGGCAGGGAGATGGAGTGGACTCCTTAAGCGGTTTGTTAAAGTTGTTTTATGGATTTTGGGGCTGTTGAGAGGCTTCTGGGATCTTTGGGTTTTCAGGCGCTCGGAGGTCTTGAGTTTCAGGTGCCTGCGGAGGTTTCTCGATGGTTTTCCTCAGAGGTTTCAACACAGAATCTCGCTGCTCCCGCAGAGGAACCAGATGATACAGTAGCTGCAGAGCTATCGTCAGTCGCATACCCCTGGCATCAGCTCGCGTGGGGTGGGGTACAGGGATGGGCCTTGTTTCGGTAAGCACCACCCACTTAACACGAGCCGGGGGACTTGATACTGGTGCCACAGTTTTGCTAGCTGCAAGCTGTGCCACCATCGCCAGGTTGGTGTGGGCTGCTGGCGGCCCGGCCCGGCGACTGTTTTCAGTTTTCTTCGTCCAGGCCCTTTGCAGCGTGAGTAAGGGGAGAATGGCAACTGCACTCAGCCTTGCTGCTGAGGCTCATCGGGCGAGGGGTTGGCTTTTAGGCTTTTGGGCTCGAGGTCAGAGGCATTCAGAGACAGACGACAAGCTATGGCGAAGGCTGCGCGCGTGATTTCGATCCTGGCCGTGGGAGTTTGCTTCTGCAGCCTCCCGGCCTTCGTGCCTGGGCCTGCTCGCCCAGCTCGCAGCATGGCACCCGCAGCTGCAGGGGCACTGAGCATGCTGGGTGCAGCGCCTGCTTTCGCGGACAAGATCGACGACGCGGCAAAGGTGCTGTCCGAGAAGTCTTACCCCTTCTTGAAAGAAATCGACTGGACCTCCGACGTCTATGGCAAGCTCCCCACCCAGCCTCCTCTGGAGGTGCTCAAGGCCATTAACACCATGTTGAAGATGGGTGCGTCCATGGACTCCGCAGCTCTGAAATCGGGTGTTCTGGCTCACAGCAAGGCCATTGCCGGCATGGACTCCAAGGGTGTCGCGACTCTTGCCGATTATACTGCCATTAATGCGGCCATCGGGCATATGATCGCTTCGGTGCCTGCATCGCAGACCATGGACGTGTACAATGCTTTCAACAAGTTCAACCTTGGCAAGGATGTGGGCCCTTACATGATGTCCAAGGTAAATGCGGCGGATGCCAAGGCAGCTTACCAGGCATTGATGGACTTCAAGGATGTGGTCAAGGCGTCCCAGCGCTGAGCCTTCTTTTGATCCTCTTGAGCATCGAGTCGTGCAGAGGAGTGAGCGCGGCGGCGCCCATCCGATTTAAAGACTTGAGTCTGATTTGATTTTGTATAAGTTGCATAGTTTCTTAAGGGCCCCCTGGGCCCACCGAGCTCTTGCCTGGCTGGCAATCAGCCGCGATGCGTGCGCCACATCTTTAAATGTGGCAGCGGAAAGGCTAGAGTCTCCCGTTCAGTGCGTAGCAGAGGCCGCACAGAAGCAACAAAAACATGCCGGAAGCCCCAGAGACCCAGACAGACCCAGCAGACCCCCCCCCCCAGACCCCCCGCCAAAAAAAAAGCAGTCCACACACACAGGTCTCCTCACGTCGCGGCGTCCGAAGGCGAGAGACCTTCAAGCCTCTCTGAAGGCAGGGAGATGGAGTGGACTCCTTAAGACTTAGCGGTTTGTTTAAGTTGTTTTATGGATGTTGGGGCTGTTGAGAGGTTTCTGGGATCTTTGGCTTTTAAGGCGCTCGGGGTGCCTGCGGAGGTTTCTCGATGGTTTTCCTCAGCAACTAGGTTTCAACACAGAATCTCGTTGCTCCGACAGAGGAACCATGATACAGTAGCTGCAGAGCTATCGTGAAGTTCGCATGCCTATGTCAGTCGCATACCCCTGGCAGCAGCATCACATACCCATGGCACGGTGATCCCCAAAACGCTTGTTGCGTGGGGTGGGGTACAGGGATGGGCCTTGTTTCGGTAAGCACCACCCACCTAACACGAGCCGGGAGACTTGATACTGGTGCCACAGTTTGCTAGCTGCAAGCTGTGCCACCATCGCCAGGTTGGTGTGGGCTGCTGGCGGCCCGGCCCGGCGACTGTTTTCAGTTTTCTTCGTCCAGGCCCTTTGCAGCGTGAGTAAGGGGAGAATGGCGTCTGCATTCAGCCTTGCTGCTGAGGCCCTTGGGGCGAGGGGTTGGCTTTTAGGCTTTTGGGCTCGAGATCAGAGGCATTCAGAGACAGACGACAAGCTATGGCGAAGGCTGCGCGCGTGATTTCGATCCTGGCCGTGGGAGTTTGCTTCTGCAGCCTGCCCGCCTTCGTGCCTGGGCCTGCTCGCCCAGCTCGCAGCATGGCGCCCGCAGCTGCAGGGGCACTGAGCATGCTGGGTGCAGCGCCTGCTTTCGCGGACAAGATCGACGACGCAGCAAAGGTGCTGTCCGAGAAGTCTTATCCCTTCTTGAAAGAAATCGACTGGACCTCCGACGTCTATGGCAAGCTGCCCACCCAGCCTCCTCTGGAGGTGCTCAAGGCCATCAACACCATGTTGAAGATGGGTGCGTCCATGGACTCCGCAGCTCTGAAATCGGGTGCTTTGGCTCACAGCCAGGCCATTGCCAACATGGACTCCAAGGGTGTCGCGACTCTTGCCGATTATACTGCCATTAATGCGGCCATCGGGCACATGATCGCTTCGGTGCCAGCATCGCAGACCATGGACGTGTACAATGCCTTCAACAAGTTCAACCTTGGCAAGGATGTGGGCCCTTACATGATGTCCAAGGTAGATGCGGCGGATGCCAAGGCAGCTTACCAGGCATTGATGGACTTCAAGGATGTGGTCAAGGCGTCCCAGCGCTGAGCCTTCTTTTGATCCTCTTGAGCATCGAGTCGTGCAGGAGTGAGCGCAGCGGCGCCCATCCGATTTAAAGACTTGAGTCTGATTTGATTTTGTATAAGTTGCATATTTTCTTAAGGGCCCCCTGGGCCCACCGAGCTCTTGCCTGTGGCTGGCAATCAGCGGCGATGCGTGCGCCACATCTTTAAATGTGGCAGCGGAAAGGCTAGAGTCTCCCGTTCAGTGCGTAGCAGAGGCCGCACAGAAGCAACAAAAACCATGCAGAGGAAGCCGCAGAGACCCAGACAGACCCAGCAGGACCCCCCCCCCCCCCAAAGAAAAAACAGTCCACACACACAGGTCTCCTCACGGCGCGGCGTCCGAAGGCGAGAGACCTTCAAGCCTCTCTGAAGGCAGGGAGATGGAGTGGACTCCTTAAGACTTAGCGGTTTGTTTAAGTTGTTTTATGGATGTTGGGGCTGTTGAGAGGTTTCTGGGATCTTTGGCTTTTAAGGCGCTCGGGGTGCCTGCGGAGGTTTCTCGATGGTTTTCCTCAGCAACTAGGTTTCAACACAGAAACTCGCTGCTCCGACAGAGGGACCATGATACAGTAGCTGCAGAGCTATCGTGAAGTTCGCATGCCTATGTCAGTCGCATACCCCTGGCAGCAGCATCGCATACCCATGGCACGGTGATCCCCAAAACGCTTGTTGCGTGGGGTGGGGTACAGGGATGGGCCTTGTTTCGCTAAGCACCACCCACTTAAGACGAGCTGGGGGACTTGATACTGGTGCTACAGTTTTGCTAGCTGCAAGCTGTGCCACCATCGCCAGGTTGGTGTGGGCTGCAGGCGGCCCAGCCGGGCGACTGTTTTCAGTTCCTTTCGGGCTGAGAGATGAGGAAGGGGAGAACGGCGTTTGCATCCAGAGTTGCTGCTGAGGCCCATAGGGGCGAGGGGTTGGCTTTTAGGCTTTTGGGCTCGAGATCAGAGGCATTCAGAGACAGACGGCAAGCTATGGCGAAGGCTGCACGCGTGATTTCGATCCTGGCCGTGGGAGTTTGCTTCTGCAGCCTGCCCGCCTTCGTGCCGGGGCCTGCTCGCCCAGCTCGCAGCATGGCGCCCGCAGCTGCAGGAGCACTGAGCATGCTGGGCGCAGCGCCTGCTTTCGCAGATAAGATCGACGACGCGGCCAGGAAGCTGTCAGACGCCTCTTACCCATTCCTGAAGGAGATCGACTGGACCGCAGACTACGCGAAGAACATCCCGGGAGCAGATCCCCTGCAGATGGCAAAGGCCATCAGCAAGACCATTGACATGGGCGCGGCTATGGACCCATCTGCTTTGAAGGCAGGTGTCCTGGCTCACTCCAAGGCGATTGGCAGCATCGATGCCAACGGCCTGACCTCCAAAGCTGATTACCAGGCCATCAACGCAGCCATCGGTCACATGGTCTCCTCGGCCGGAGAAGCCAAAACGCTGGACGTCTACAACGCTTGGGCCGGCGTCGTGGCCGCAGCCGTTGCCTCGGGCAAGGGAATCCCGGCGTACCTCATCGGCACCGTGAACCCGGAAGACGCACAGGCTGCTTACAAGGCCTTCCTCGAGTTCAAGGATGTGGTCAAGTCCACGATGAAGTGATCGGAGATGATCGTGGAGTGTGTCGAGTCGTGCAGAGGAGTGAGCGCGGCGGCGCCCATCCGATTTAAATTTGTAAGTTGCATATTTTCTTAAGGGCCCACTGGGTCCACCGAGCTCTTGCCCGTGGCTAGCAGTCAGCCGCGACGTGTGCGCGACATCTTTAAACTTGGCGGTGGAAAGGCTGCAGGGACTCACCCAAGCCTGGTACCAGGCAAGGTCCCGAACAGTGCGTCGGGATCTTCGGAAGTCACCCAGGTCTCCTCCGGGCGCGGCGTCCCAAGGCGCGAGGCCTCCACATCTCTGAGGCAGAGAGATGGATTGGACTATATAGGACTCCATGGGTTTGTTAGAGTTGTTTTGTGGGATGTTGGGGTTGGTGAGAGGCTTTTGAGATCTTTTGCGGCTTGGGGGGGCTTGGGTGTGTTGAGTTTCGGGTGCCTGCGAAGTTTTCCTCAGAAACTCAGACCAGGTTTCAACTCAGAGAATCTTGCTGCTCTGAAAACGAGCCAGATAGAACTTCTGCAGAGCTATCGCGAAGTTCATCGCATACCCATTGGACGGTGACCACCAAAATACTCGTTGTGTGGAGTGGGTGACAGGGATGGGCCTTGCTTGAGTTGGGGGACTTGATACTGGCACTACAGTTTTGCTAGCTGTGCCACCCTCGCCAGGTCGGTGCGGGCTGCTAGGGGCCCGGGCCGGCGACTGTCTGCAGTTCCTTCCGTCCGGGCCCTTTGCAGCGCGGAGAGCTGGGAGGGGGGGGAGGGCGGGAGAGCTTTCAGAACAGTCAGGGGGGAAAGACTTGAGACCGAAGTTCATCAAGTTTAGGGTGTGAGCTTTTGCGCATGAACCTTCGAAGACCACAACCCTGAACCCCAAAAATCCGGAAAGCCAGACACCAGAAACGTTGAACCTTAAACATCCAAACCCCTATAAACCTAAACCGCAAATCCGGAAAGCCGGACACCAGAAACCTTGAACCCTAAACCTTTAAACAGTAAACCCCTAAATCCGGAAAGCCAAACACCAGAGACCTTGAAGCCTAAACCCCCAAACCCTAAACCCCCAAATCCGGAAAGCCAGACACCAGAAAAGTGGCCACCCAGATGGGTCCATGCGTGTTGATGACGAGGGCAGCGCTGGCGACAGTCGTCCGTGGGCCCCTTTGGGCAAGGCCACGGACAATGCTGCCGAGGGCAACTGCCTCTTCCATGCTTTGGCCGAGCTCGATTTGGGCGGCAAGGCTCGGTCACACAGGCAGCTTCGACGTTATGCCTGTATCTCTTTGCAAAAACATGCTGCCCAACCTTGTCCACTTTGGACTGCCACCGGCTGCCAGAACTCTCTTGGCAGGCGTGCTGGCCTGAGCTGGGATGGTTATTTGCAGGAAATTTCCGCCAACGCCGCCTGGAGCGGATCGTTGGAAATCCTAGCCATCAGCATCGATCTCTCGCTGCGCGCCTGGATCTTTACCAGCACCGGTGCTCTCCACCTGCTCAACCCTTCCGGCACGGAGGGCTTCGTGGCTCTGCGCTATGACGAGGCGAAAGAACACTGGCAAGCTTATGTTGACATTGACGAAGCTCACCTTCGGGATCGTCACGCAGCGACTGGTGGGCTCGACTTTGTCTATGCTGACAATCTCTTTAGGGGCGGAGGCGCGCTTACGGATTGTGCGTCTGATACTTTGTCGCTGGCTCGGGCAGCTGGTGCTTCACAGGCCTCATTGCGTATCAGCGCCCCCAAATAATAGCACCCCAGATTTGGGAAGACAACCGGCCTCATGCCCATCAGCGCCCCCAATTAGCACCCCAGATTTGGGAAGACAAAGGACGTGTAGATGGCATCCTCCTGGGACACATCGTCGGGTATCGCTCTCCGAGTGTGCCTCTGAGCTGACTCCTGGCGTCGCTCGTGACCATGGTGGCTCTGGCGTGGACCTTCCTTGGAGTGCTCAGCAAGAAGGTGCTGTCTCCGACCTGTGTGACCTCGTCTTCGATGCTGAGCTTCTTGCCGATCTGCCGGCTATGGCCTCGGGCATTCGTGTTGTATTGGGTGGATCCTTGTCAGGTGCTCCGCTAGCGGCTGTGGTCCAGGGGCACCCTCACGCTGAGCCGTGGACTACTCCTAAGGTTGAGTTCTTGCTCAAGGTCCTGGGTGAGGGTCGCCTTGGTGCTGCTGTTCGACTGCTATCCCTCTCGGAGTGCGCCTCTTCGGTTGTTGGTCGTGCTGGCGATCCTCCTGGTGGTCATTTGCTTGAGCAAGGGAGCACGAGTGGTGCTTGTGTTCCCCATAGGCTCCGAATGTCGTTGACTGATTGTGCATCGTCCAGTGCCTATTTTGTGTGCCCCGCCTTTTCAGCGCAGTCTCGGGGAGGCACTTTGCGTGATTCGAGGACCTGGTTTTGCGAGGGTCTCTTTCGCAGGCCAAGCGGACTCACATCCTCCGAGTCCACCCTGGTGTTGCTCCTTTTCTTGGCGCATACGTGGTGCTGCTGTTTGCCCGGCCGATGCTAAGAAACAGGGCCGCTTGCATGCTTGGACTTGCTTCTGGTGCCGCCGTGGGCTCCCCATGTTGGACAAACGCACACATGATGCTTCTGTCAATAAACATCTTTCTGCATGCAAACTGGCCCCACAGGGAGCGAGCGCAGGGGACAAGCTTCGCGCTCATGCCAGGGCTGCTGGAGTCCACGACACCGGTATGGCGGGACGCATGGGGTCATACACTGGCATGCAGGTGGCATGGCGCCTGTACAACCGCCGTAAGGCAAATGCTCTTTGCAAAGACATGCGAAGGAAGGGGCACTGCATTCGGCACCTTCTCCGTGGCGGCAGCACAAGATCGCGCATCAGTTTCACGTGTTCAGGTTGCCTGCTGGTCGCTCGCTCGGTGGCTAAGTTGGCCGATTTTCGAGGCCTCAGGTGCGACAGCTCTCAGCGCGAGGTAACCCTTCGCCCTTCGCACCACTGGCAAGCGGCGCCTCTATGCTTCACTAGGCCGCGCTGAAAGCTCACTTCTCAAGAGCATCTGGAGGCTCACGCAAGCCGAGCACAAGCTCCTCCTGAGCAGATCGGCACGGTGCAAGCAGCAGACCGAGGGAGATTGGCTGCGAGATGTTACTGAGGAAGGCGATGTTGAGCCAAATCCGGGGCCACCGGCTTCTTCTTCGTCGGTGACCAGCGGCCAGTTGCGCATTGCTTTTCTCAACGTGGGCGGTTGATCCAACATGTTTGAGGCCTTGGACTTCGTTACTTCGCATTCCAAGGATCAACGACCTGCGATCTTCGCCTTTGCCGAGACCCGCGCAGCCCCTTCTTCACAAGCGTCTGCCACCAAGATTGCTCTTCGAAGCGGTTTCAAGGTTTGGTGGATTGGCTCCACAAGGGGAGCCTTTGTCAATGGTCGCCAAGCTTGGCTGGGTGGCATTTGCGTCGGTGTTGACCTTTCCCTGGCCTGCTTGCACCTTGCCTCGTGGAGCCACTGCCAAGGCAACCTTTTGCAGCTGGAGGTGGGTTCCTTTAACCTTCTGGTTGGCTGGCGGCGCCCAAATGAGGAAAGGGACCTGTTTGATGCTGAGCTCCTCACTTGGACCTCCCAGGCCACCGCTTTGGGGCGGACCGCCGTGCTCATGCGAGACTGGAACGACGAACCCTCCGAATCTCCTCTCCAGCACCTCGGCGTGGTCTTTGAGGCACCACGTGGAGGCCAAGGGGCCTTGGTGCCATCTCGTTGGCACGGGTGGCGCTCCATTGATTGGACGGCACTATCCAGACTCACTTTGACCAGTGCCGGATCAGCGACCATGAGCTTCTGTGGACACTGCTCCATGCTTCATTCTCTCGACGCCCGCACCATGTTATGTTATGACCCCCAGACTCGGTTGTCCTGAAGAAGTCAGTGAAGGTGCCTGGTGTGAGGCCTTAGAGGTAGCCTATGGCCAGATTTCTGTTGACTGAGCTCAACCTTTCGATTGAGCTTGCTGTCAAGCATGCCCGGGAGGCTCTGGGCTGCAAGGACTCGGAAGTGGGCGGACGCACTCGCCCGCAAGGCTCTCTCTATGTGATCATTGATGCTGATCCTCTCTGTGGGCGCTCCCATCTTGGGGACGAGGGCGTCAAGATCCGCAAGCTGAGCAGTTTCCTTGGCCGGCTTCATGAAGCCGTCCGCTGTGGAGGTGGCGACGGAGCTGCTTCTGGCTCCCTGGTCAGGAAGATTGACAAGACGTGGCCCACTGACATCCCCTGCGCCCCTTTTGAGCAAGCTATTGGCATCGTGGAGGAGGCTGTTGCCAAACTCCGACAAGCTAAAGTAAGCCAAGGCGGCAGTGATGCGATTCGCTGGCTCAAAAACGAAGCAGGGCTTCTGCCTCCGGCGGTCGCCTCAGAGGAAATAAAGTGATCAGTCGCAACTTGGCTCAGTCCATTGAGATTATCGCAGGGTTCTGGAGGAGAGTCTGGTGGCGTGACCAGCCACACCGTCTTCTTGACGACTTCGACGGTGGGAGCACAGGCCCCCACCGACCGCCGATTGGGGGTCCTCCGGTGACCCACTCACGGCTGGCCGAGGTTCTGAAGCGCTCGCTGTAAAGCTGGAGGTGGTGCGGGCCCTGACGGCCTGTCGGTTCAAGAGGCGGCCCACCTCCTTCTTCGGTTCTGGCAGTGGTTTGCTGAGCTTTTGCGAGATTGGCAACTAGTTGGCATCTTCTTTGAAGCTCTCCAGCATGCACGCATGGTTTGCTTGCCTAAAGATGAGATTTCGGGAGATGAGACTTCTGTTCCTGTGAAAAGGCTGCGTCCGATCACCATCCTGCCTTTCCTTTACAGAATCGCCGTGGGCACGTGGACGTCGAGAGCTTCCACCCGCGAGTGGCTGGCAAAGGTCACGCCGCCTGCACTCCATGGTGGGATTGGAGGGCGCACCGCCTGGGACGCCATTAGAATCCTTGATTCTGCGTGGACAGATGGGAAGGTCCTTGTCAGCTTCGATTTCCATCTTTGCTTTGACCATGTCAGTCCAGCTCTTGCTCTGAGGTGCCTTAATGAACGCCATGGATGTCCTGAAAGCATGCTGTCACTTCTCAGGTGGACCTGGCAGCACCAGCGGCGATGGATACAGGTTGGCCAAGGGGTTAGTGCTTCGCCTGAGTTGGTGGAGTCCGGCCTCCCTCAGGGATGCCCCGCCAGCCCCATGACCTTGATCTTGCTGCTGGTGGCCCCGGCGCTGCGACTTCAGGATGAGCTTGACCAAGGACTCGTCCAGACGCTCTTTCTCGACGACAGGACGGCGGTGGTGGACGACGCGGCCACGGCGGCTATAGGGTCATCCAGGCGTGGGGTGATATGGCCACTGGCCAAACTCAACGTCATCACCACGTGTCCTCGTCATCGTCGTGGCTTGGGCATATCCCCCTCCATGGAGGCGGTCATCCTGGGCACTACCTTTACCGTGGACGACCAGGACCTCGACGGTGACTCCGAGGACCCCACGCTCCAGGCGAGCGACTCTCAGCCCGACTCCGCTGCTTGCAGGCGGTTAAGGACAGACTGTATCGCACCTGCCTCCTTCCGGCCTTCACGTGGGGCTCGGCTCATGGTGGCGTGGATGGGATCTGCGGTGCGGCATGCTGCCAAAACCACGACCAAGGTCAAGGCAGGGTTGAACGTGATCCACACAGGCTCACGCCCGCTCTGGCTTCTGTCAGCAGGGCATTGGATGGATGTACACTTCGCGTCTCGGCTCAATTCGCTGCGAGGCTTTTGGCACGCCGAGGAGTACTTTGCTTCGGCTGGTGTCCTTCTGCAAGATGGGCGATGGGGCCGAGCTGTCCAGGACTTCCTCACCGAACTGGGCTTCCAGCGTTACCGCGATGGGGCATGGCAACATGGATGGCTGGGTGGCTTTGATCTCACATTGTCCACTCGTTTCTTGTTGTTCTGAGTGCCGCGCGCAAGCGAGGCGCACCGCAGGCACTCGAACCTTCCTTGCTTGGCACAGGTCGCCAGTGCATCTCTTGGGGGGTGTGCTGTAGACGTTAAACCTTCATCGATACTGGCATTAATGCGGCCATCGGGCATATGATCGCTTCGGTGCCAGCATCCCAGACCATGGACGTGCACAATGCCTTCAACAAGTTCAGCCTTGGCAAGGATGTGGGCCCTTACATGATGTCCAAGGTGGATGCGGCGGATGCCAAGGCAGCTCACCAGGCATTGATGGACTTCAAGGATGTGGTCAAGGCGACCTCAGCATGCCTTTGAAATGGGCGCGTACGCACCTCAGATGCAACTTGGATCTTGAGAGTGACCTTCCCGTACTTTGGACGGCCCTTTTGTTCGGACTCCTGAGCTGGCCGCTAATGAGTCATGTCTGGCTTGTGATGCGCGCTTGCTTTCGCAGCTTTGCCATGCTAGGTATCTTTTGCCTAGGTATCAGATGTGCCTCCTGACTTACCACGTGTTTGTGGCAGAATCGTGTTTTCAGCTTTGGGCTTAACTTGTTTCTGTCACACTGTCAATGGAAACGCAGCTTCCTGCGCTTTGGACGCTCTTCCTGCTTGCTCTTCTGTGCTGGTCGCTCACTGGCCTTGTTTGGCTAGTGTTACGTCCGCTTTGTCTCAGCCTTGTCACCACTGGTTCGGTCTACCTCTGTGTCAGTCTTGCCTCTTGGCTTGTTTCAGGCTTGTGGCATACTTGTAGGACCAACCTTATTGTTGACAGATTGCTCATGTACTTCAACCTCTCATGGAATGCTGAAGCGCACCTTCCTGCGCTTTGGACGGTCTTCTTGCTAGGACTTCTGTGCTGGTCTGTTGCAAACCTGCTTTGGCCAGTAGCGTGCCGCTGCTTTTCCACAAGGGTCACATCAGGCTTGGACTTTTTGGGACTTTGCTATGCCTCTTCGCTAAGGTGCGGTGCCTGGCAGGTGAGCGGAGATCACAGTGTGCTACACAGCATGCGACAATGCATCTAGTCTACATTTCTGTTGATGTTATTACTGAAGCCAATCTTCATGAAGCTTGGACAATCTTCTTGCTACTTCTGCTTTGTTGGCCCTGCGTGAGCCACCTCTGGTTCCGTTTCGTCAGGGCCTGAGACTTGAACAGGACCCAGAATGACAAGTGCAAGCGGAGGGTACGCAAACGAATGCTGCCTAGGAAAACTCAATCCAGGATGCCGCGGAAACGTATCTTCAGGTGTCGGTTTGCGGGAACTCGCAGGCTTAAACGTGCCCGCCTGAGGTGCAGGAGCCGCGCCCTCAGACTGCGAGTGCAGCGCCTCGTACGAAAGTGGAACCCATATGTTGCAACCAGAGTTGGAGAGGCTAGGCACCCTGGACCGGGTGGGGCCAATCGCACTAGACGTGTCAGATATCAGAAATACAAGACTGGAATCAGCCCTGCTGCCTTCAACTCCATAGTGAAAGCTGTGTGCGAGGCTATGGGGAGATACGCTCCTCAAGCTAGTGTGGTGCAACAAACGGAAAAAGCTACACATCTGTCTCCTGGGGCGACTGGTTCCTGGGTTCACTACGCGACCTGCTTCGCTTAGGAAGCTCTTTCCCATCCACGTTTTCCTCATTTTGGGAAGTGGGGTCAAGCTGAGTAGCTGGAACCTCCGAGCGACCGCGATCAACAGTCTTGGAGTCAGTCCTATAGCTTTAGCTTTAGGAGGAGGCTTATCAGGGGCCTTCGCGCCGGTAGACTCAGGCTCAGCAGTTCTGAACTTCCGCTTTGGGCCTGGCACAGCAATCTTTTCGAAAAGCTGGGGGGTCCGGGGAGGGGCTTTGACGACTTGCACGAGCGCATCGGAGCAGGCCTTGTCCTCGTACCACCAAGGGCCGTCTGCGTTCTCCGAGGGTGGCCGCGCTTTGAGAGTCCACGTGTTTCTTCGTTTACTCAAAATCTCAACGTCTTTCCAATCTTGCGACATCAGAAATTTCTGAACGGATTCAGGGTCCCAAGAGCGAGGCACACCAGTAGCTTGGAAAACGCCCGGTTTTTGGGGTGGGCTGTCCGAAGAGAGGTTAACCATGCCTAAGTCCTTCCCGCCTCCAGCTCGGAACTTCACTCCCTGGTGTCTCTCTTGAGCCTTGGTGCGGACGCGGCGAAGGTAAGACTCGTGATCTTCATCTTTCAGACGATCCTGCCACAAGATCGTTTCACTTCTGGAATTCGTCCCAGTGATGATGAAAAAGACTCCGTGATGCCCACTGTAGGATTCGAGAGTGCGGGCATGGGCAGGAAGCATTCTGACATACCCCACTAAAACAGAAGAGTCCTTACCGGAGTTCCAAGACCAGTTCCCTCCTGTGAACTGCGAGGCTGGAATTGCCCCCCAGGAGGCAACTTCTTTAACCAGCTTCGCCGGAGAATCGGGGTTGCCTTCATCAAAGAAGCGACTTCGGTAGGCCTCCGGCGCAGAGATGCGCACTGTGACCTTCTTCTCTCCCTCAAACTTTGCAAAGTCAATTTTGACAGCTGGCTTAGGCCATGTGCAAGTGCCTTTCGGGCCCAGGGCCCACAGCACCACATGCTCCAAGGACATAGCCCCCTTCGCTCTGCGAACTGTGACCTTGGCAACAGTGCCCTCAAAGACCTCAGTGCTGGTCTGTGGCGCGACGACAGTGAGGGAGCGTTCACAACACAGCGACTTCCAAAGGTCTCTGAGCTCGCAAATCTGTTCAGGGGAATGCAAAATTAATACATTTCCTTTGAAATCAGTGCCTTCGCTCAAAGCTTTCACAACAGTAGCTTTCGTGACCGGCTCTGCACCGCGAGTCCACTCCGAGGACACAACGCCGTGAAAAGCAGCGGTGGGTTTGAAGGTATCTTTGCAGACTTTCCTAGAAGCTTGCGGCCACCATTCCCACTTTTCAGCGCTGGTCTGGTTCGCACTCCACCAGCCTGCGTTGGTGACGGGTTTGGAGCGCGCGTTTCTCCCACTCCTCCAATAGCCATCCCAAGCCTCAGACTCCTCCCACATTTCTTCACCCGCCCGGTACCGCCAGCCCGAGGCAGAGGAGCGGTCCTGCGAGCCTCCTGCATCAATCACATGAGGAAGCGTGCCGAAGAGTATGCCCCTTGGATTGCTGAAGACGCTGACACTGCCCCAGAGGAGGAAGCCCTGCGGACCCTACGTTCTGGATATGCGGTATCCAGCTCTTTGCTGCTTCTGAAAAGCGAGGGGCGAGGAATTCCGATTGTTATTTGGTTCAGAGCTCGTAATGAGACCGCTTGGAAAAGATGCACCATGGCGCCGGACTGGAAGGGCGGCCTTCCCAGAATGGCTGCTGGAGCCAAGCCAGTCGTTCTCATTCTCCAAGATGACCACTAATTATACTTTCCTGCAGCCCCCCACCAAAGGGAAAGTCCCGGATAGCTGGTTGCGACAAACGGACATTCCAGATCCCAAGGTCTTGCAGGGAAGTGGGCCAAAGTCGCGGGCTGCTTCTCTCAGTAGCAAGGACACCGCCTCTGATGTGCCTTCGCTCCACTCATGGAACTCCGAGGCCCATCAGCGGAATCAAGCAAGATCGGACGCCACGCCCTCACTTCACTCGTACGCTGAGGAGCCGGCCAGAAGTCGAGCCTCTAGTAAGCGGCTATGCTCCGATTTTTGTTCTGACGCGCCCACTCCTTCGCTACACACTTTCGCCGGAGGCAGTCTCAGCTCTGCTTTTGAAGGTGCAAATGGAGCGAGCGCGAGCTCCAAGCTTAGTCTCCCAGACGTCACTCCCCAAAGGACTGCTGCTTTGAGGATAACCTCGCGTAACCAGGCCTCCGACGAAGCCTCCCTCAAAACCTTGCCTCACGCTCCTTCTGGCAGCGAGAGATGGTTGCCGCCTCAGGTTGAAGGCTCTACCTACACCGTCGAAACCCCGACATGGTATTGCGAGGAGTGTAAGGAGCATATCAGGCCCACTTCGGGTTGCCAGGACCTAGGCCGTGGTTTGTCGCAAGCGCGCACTGCACACATTGCTCGTAGACATCCTGGCCGTCCCTCCTCTGACTTTCCACGAATTCGGGAGGTGGCCACCGTTGCGGCCGTGCGCCGGCGCAAACTCAAGGGCAAGGCAGCATGGACATGTTTCTGGTGCCGACAAGTTCTCCCAGCCATGGAGAAGCGGTCGCGCGAAGCATCCATCAAGAAGCATTTTCAACAGTGCAAAAAGGCACCGCCGGAGTCCACGGCTGGCTCCAACCTTCAGGCCTGGGCACAGGAGCTGAACAATTCCCATGCGAATCGTGGTGCTCAGAGCAGATGTTGGGGTATGATTTTGTCCAAGAAGTTGCAAGATCATCGGAAGGCCCGCGCAATCTCGCTGCAGAAGCACAAGCTTGGTCACCGCATTCGGCATGTGCTACGATGTGAAAACGATCGAGCTCGGATCATCTTCACGTGTAGCAGTGGCCAGAACTCGCTCGTCGCTGGCGCGGCTCAAAACTCCGTGCGCAGGGGTTGGTGTTCGTGCGAGGGTGCTTCGCACGACGGGCAAGCAGAGACTCTATGCTAGCATTGGAACTCAGGGCCGACGGTTGCTCAAGCGCATCTGGGGCCTCTCTGACAAGGAGCACAGTGTGCTGATGACCAAGGCCAAGGGCTACAGCACAACGGCTCCCCTCAAGCAATGGTTGCGAGACGTCACGGAGGAAGGGATCGAGCCCAACCGGGACCGTCCACCTCCTTCGTACGTTCTCCTTGGAGTTGCTTTCACTTGAACGCAGGTGGATGCACCAATGCCTTTACTTTGAGGCCCTTGACCTACTCCAGAGCTCTGAGGGGTGTGGTCCCTGGCCGAGGTTCGCGCAAGTCCATCTGAGCAAGCGGCTCTTAGCAGACGTGCTAACAAGATGGGATACAGAGTGTGGTGTGTGCCCTCCACCCAAGGGGCCCGCCGACAAGGCCCTGCCAACTGGAAAGGAGGACTGTGTGTGGGCG